AAATTCATAAATAATTGCCCTTGTTTTATGGGCTTGGCTAACATGAGTCTGCGCCCAGAGGTGGCTCATCCTTGCTATATAAATAAAATCTGTGAGGCTTGAGACCTGATATCTTCATCAAGACAGTGAAGTGTGCCTTGCATGCCCTTTGGAAGACAGCCTCTTTTGTTTTTCTCTCTCCAGGGGAATGCCAATTACCATGTTGATGTGTGTATTTTCTTTACAGCATTATATATTTGAATGCTTGTGGACTTCAGAGAATGATAACATGTTAGTAAGCAGGCGATCAAATAATGATGGGGCAAGGCAGAGTGTGCAGGGACCTCAAAGAATCCTAGGCATGGAAGGAATCCTGATAAACTTGCTGCAAGTGCTTGTCCCTTCCAATGCTTGAATATCTAGTAATTGAAAATTCATGCCCAGCGGGGAGATCTGTTCCACCCTTGGGAAGCTTTTCCAGAGTTTCTCCACTTTTTAGGTCACACTCACACTAGGGGCCCTGAACTTTTCTCCATCAGAAGCATCTGTGAAATCAGAAAGGCATTTCTGAGTACTTCCCTGCATGGGTTAGTTTGGGGTTCCTCCAGCCCGGTGCCTGGCATCCCTGGGGTGAGCACTGTCAGAGCCAAGGAACCAGGAAGACACACAGCACCCCTCCTTCTGTCCTATCTTTGCTTGAGTCCTTTTTTTTTTTTTTTTTTAATAGAGGCATGCTTTATTTATTTATTTTGTTTGTTTGTTTTGTTTATACATGCACTGGGTACAGTCAGAAGCGCGGGAGGGTGAGAGAATTCACCAGAGCCAGAGCGGGGAGCAGAGCAGGCAGAAGGACCGAAGTACACTGCTGAGGGGAGCAGCAGGCGGCAGGAGAGGTCTGCGCGCCATGTGGGACCCTCCTCCGGAGGCCGGGGAGCAGCCGGGGATCGAACTGGTACCGCAGAGGTTGCAGGCAGCTTCGCAACCCAGCGCTCAACCGCTGTGCCACCGGGGAGGCCCTGCTTGAGTCCTTAACGCCAGTGATAGTGTCCATAAGTGTGTGGCAAATGGAGTTGGAAACTGCCACCTTGAGTTGAAAAGTGACCTGCATATGTGAGGCATTATTATTTCCATTGGTTGACAAGCAGCTCAAATTCTAAACCTTCCAAAAGGAGACATAGGAGTCATTTCTACTTGCCATAAAAACAAGATAAAAATGCCCTGGATGAGGAGTCAGCCCATATGGATATTGGACCCAATTCTGTCAATTACTAGCTGTATGACATAAGGCAAGAGACTTTCCTCTGTAAAGTAGAAATGATCATCTGTGCTTTTCCCACTTGTGAGGTGACTGTGAGGTTAGAACAGGTAATGTGAAATGCAGTATACATGCAAGTCCTTTCAAAGGACTAGTCTCAAAACACAAAGCCCCAGTGTACAGTCTATAAGCATAAAGACCTTAAGGTGCTATTTCCACGTGATCACGAAAGTGAGGAGCAATCCAGAGGAACCACTAGCACAGCGATGACGCATGGTTGAGACTGAGCATGCGCACAGATACCCATCAGCTGCAGAGACTCGAGCATTAACAGTGCTGAGAATCTGTTGGAAGATTCTTAGGAGGGAAAGAGGGTAACCATGTTTCCAAGGCTGAGATCATGACTTCATTTCAAGGAGAGATGAAACAGACTAGCAGAGGGCACACTGTTCTATCAGAAATACAGAAGAAAAAGAAATCTAAGCAAAGCGGAGGGGGGCCCCCCAAACAATTTAACAAGATAATTGACAGAATGTTTGGTTGTTAAGAAAGGTGGGGAGTGAGTTTATTGGCAAGTTTGGTTGACAATTGAGGAAAAATGCCAATTTGTTTCCCAAAGTTACTGTAAAAATTGGTATTGCCCTGTCCCCCCTCCATCATGCCAGACCCTGTGGATTCACACCACCATAGTTCTTGGAATTGTCAGGCTGAACTTGCTTTTCAATCTACTGGTATGAACTGGAGTCTCCGGGAAGTTTGGATTTGTATTTTTTTGATTCCTCAGGATTTTGAGTTATTTTTTACATGAATTGGCTGTGTCCGTTTCCTTGAATGTAAATTTCTATATACATTTCTTATCCAATTGTCTTTCCAGTTGTTTGTGCTCATGGATCTGTGGAGATATGGATGTGTTCTGTGTCCAGTTCTTCCCCCTGTAGACTGAGTACCCCTTCTCCTATAAGAAGTGAGCTCAGCCAGCCATGATAGCATGAGGAATAGTAACTGTTGTTGCTAGTTATTCCTAAATAACTTGTAAAACAGCAATAGCTACTTAAAATATTTTTTCTTATTATTCAAGAATCTGTTTTATCTATTTTTAGACCTAACTTTTCTTTCATAATAATTTAATTTTGTCTTGCATCTTTTTTAACTGTGCAATCTTTCCATCTTGCTCATTTTTGGGTGTAACATGCTTTTTATCGAGGTGACGTTTCTTTACAACACCATACACCTGGCAGGCGTCCCAGCCCCCAGCGAGTCTTCACTCTTTCTGGGCTCTCTGGTTTTCTCTCTGCTTTTCTCGTGTTCTCTCTGCTTCTCTTGTGGTTCTCCTGGCATCCCCGTGACGCCGCCCTTATAAACCCAGCCTTAGCCCAGGTGTACCCACGACACATGCCCGCACCCTACTCCAGGTGTCCGCCATCAGGCATGCACTCAGGACCGCAGGGATCCATCATCAATCCTAATGGCAGGAGGGCAGAAAAGCCTGAAAATCACTTACCCTACAACAGTGCTGTGGCTTTTCCATTTGCATGGCTGTACTGTATGTATGTGTGTATTTGTATATACAGAGTGATAGGACATGGTTTCAATGTCATATAATAGCCTATCTACAATGAAATTAATATTGTTCATAAAATATTTCAGTGCTCATAAAAATAAGGCACATTTTTGAAGATTTCTTTCCATCTCCAGAATTATTTCTCACCAAGAGTCAGTTTGTATTCTCTTAAAAGAGAATTATTTCTTACATTATTTCTTAATAAATCCAAAAATTCTCATCTACCACAGATAGAAGCAGCATTAGGTTGACGTTGGGATTTAGTCTCAAAAGATGTTGCCAGCCAAAGCTAGCTGCCACATTAACTCTGTGCTGTAAGAAAATAAAACTGTTATCTTAACTTAAGAGGGTGTTTTGATGTCATGTTTTATTACAGATCAGCACTATGATTCAGACAATTCCTCTGTCGATTCCACTCTTGTGTTTTTGCCTTTGACCTATTTTTCCCACCCTTCTTCACTTGGGCTGAATAACTAAGTAGGGCTGATCCTTGTATCACAAGGCCAGGGGTACACAGAACAGCCCCCTGCACCCACAAATGAAGAATGATCTGGTCTGAAATGCAGCAGCATTGAGGGTGTGGGCCCTGACTTAGCTTATTATCTAAGTGTAATTAAAAAAACACAATTACCTTGACTTCCCTTGACTTATAGAGAATTTCAGATCCATGTGGTTTTGACTCATGTTTCAACTTCACCTCATAAAACTCAGGATGGTGTTTTGTAGAGATTGTGGCTGCTTCAAAGGAAAAAAAAATTTCCATGATGTGTAAGCTCATGATGTGTAATGCCTAGGACCATGCCCATACTTAATTTCTCTAATAATGCTCGTTTTTTTTTTTAAAAAAAGGTTTATTTATTTATTTATACAAGAACCAGGGTATAGGCCAGATGCACAGGAGGGTGAGAGAATTCACTAGAGACAGAGCAGAGACCAGAACAGGCAGACAGACGAAATACACTGCTGAAGGGAGCAGTGGGCGAGACAGGAGAGGTCTGCCGCACCATGTGGTACCCTCGCCAGCCAGGATTAAACTGGTGCTGCAGAGGCTGCGGACAGCTTCACAGCGCTGCACTCAACTGCCTGTGCCACTAGGGGAGGCCCCCTAATAATGTTCTTATTAAAAGAAAACATGTTTTTGGGAAGTGGGTACGTAAAATATGGCCTGAATGTATGTATTTTACTGGAACCCTTTTTTACATTCCATCTGTATGTGGCCAGAGACACCATCCTGAATTCCATCTCTTGACATCAAAGATCAGGTGTCTTTAGATAACATCTGGCTTAAGTGTACCAGCATAGCGCCAGGTATACACTTGGTACTTAAACCTAGTGGATGGCTCTTAAACCAGCCTCCTTGGCCCTACATGTTCATGTGGCCATTGGGGTTTTGGAAACAGGTGGGTAAATACACTTGTAAGCAGAAAGGTTTGCTGCATAGGGAGGGGGTATTTCCAGTGGGAGGCAGGAATCCAAAGCGCACCTTCCTGGAGTTCAGGCCACTGTTTCTTTGTGCTTCTAGTAACATGTAAATGTAAGCATTGTAGCTAACATCAGAGGCCTATGCTCTTGTTCAGATTGCATCCATACCAGCCCAGGAGCTTTGCTCCATCCTTCCAAGTAAGATAAACCACTTGGTTCTACCAGCTGGGGGTCATTCTCACATTTAGGACAGATAATGCATGTGAAACGAAATACGAATGTAAGACCTTAGGTGTAAATGCTTTACAAAAAGTAAAAACACCATATAGGCTGCAAGATGGCAAAGAATTTATTGGGAAGGAAACAAGGTTGCTTCCTTACAACAAGGAAAACAGTGCAAAAATCACAAAAAGACAACAAAAGAATTATGAGCAATAGGAAAAAAAGTGATGATAAGAAATAGTAAAAATGGCAGAAACAGAAAACTATTGTAAGGATTTATACTTTAGATTACTCAGAGAAAGATGGATGATCATTTTTGTGAATCAGACACGATGCCTGTGGTTCAGGGAGACCGAAGAAGACCGCAGGAATTCCAGAGAGGAGGTAAATGAGAGAAAGAAAATAAGGCTGAAGCCCCTGCATGCCAGCTCACTAGCCATTTTACCAAGAATATGACTCTCTGGAGACAGGGCAGCTGGAGTCAGGGAGTCTGTGGCCACAGGTGGAGGCGGGTTGCGAGTCAGAAGGTTGCACTGGGTCATGGAATTTCATGTTAGAGGATCAGCAGCCGCAAGGCTGGCCGCAGGGGCACCCCAGGCTCTCTGGGAGGCACCCAGGCAGGCAGCAGCAGGTGGGCAGGTACCAGGTTCTGTGGCAGTACACGGGGGTACAGGAGGCGGGCTGGCCACAGGGGGAGCAGCAGCTGGGGCTGCAGCAGGGGGAGCAGCAGGGAGAGCAGCAGGGGGCACAGCAGCTGGGCTGGCAGCAGGGGGCACAGCAGGGGGTGCAGCAGCTGGGCCGGCAGCAGGTGGTCGTGCAGCAGGTGGTCCTGCAGCAGCTGGGCTGGCAGCAAGGGGAGCAGCAGCTCATGGTGGCAGGGGTGGACAGTGGGTGCCTGTTCACAGGTGACTTTCCCAGAATCTGATGAGGACCCTCCTGTCCTGGGCCTTTTATACCCCGGGACCCTCAGATTTACACCAATAAGCAGGGCTGCCCTTGTTGTTGTTTATAAACAGTGGAATTTCTCAGGCAATTGTGAGGAGGAAGTTATTCCCCAAATGCTTGAATCTCTAGGAAATTGGTGTCTGATGTGAGCTAATTGAGAGGAGTCACAGAGGAAGCAGGTGCCATCACTGCTCTGTCCTCTTTGATCACGGTGGTCACGTGCCTTGGCTCCTGCTGGCCTGGGGTGGCCAGAGCGGGTGTCCCTCTGCAGCTTGTTCCTGCCTGGTGTGGAGAGGGGGTGTCCCTGGGGAGGGGCGTGACGCTGTGTCCAGGGTGAGGAGCTGAATGCAGGGGAGTCCAGGTGTGTGAGCACCAAGGCCTAGGGAAGGGGCACAGGCCTCTGTCTCTGTAGCTGCCTCCCCTCCCATGTCCCAGATCCCCAAGGATGCCCGGGAGAGGTGGTTGATCCAGTCTCTCCCATGTGCTGACAGAGCCACCTGCGGCGGGTGGAAGTGGAGGCAGTGCCCGGGGGGCTCAGAAATGCCACCAGTCCAGGCCCAGGCGACCTGTTGTCCCGGTTTGTCCAGGCAGAGGGCTGTGCCTGCGTGGGGCGCTCAGCGCTGGAACTGGGCAACTCTGACAAAGCTGGATGAGCTGGTGACCCTAGAGCTGCCTGGTCTCCCCACAGTAGGTGACCATGGGGACCTCCTGTCACGCCCTCTCCCCGTCCCTCTCCGGGCCACCCCTTTGCTCTCTCCTTTTAGTGGAGGACTTGGAGTAGTTGAGGTGCTATTGGCTTTACCTCATCTTTGGGGTGTCACGTGTTAGAACACGCCACTATCAATGTCCATCCTGGGTCACCCACAGTGAACACACCCGAGTCGCTGCTACAGCTTGTGACACAGACATCAGCCCCAGTCCCCCAAACTCCACCTGGTCCCCAAGGACAGCTAACCACGCCTGACGTACAGCCCGAGGGGCAGTGTGGGGTTTGCTTGAACTTTATATTTCTGAAAAGAGTGGAGCTGGCTTCTCCTTGCTCCGATGTGAGATTCATGAATGTCCTTATTTGAGGATAATTCATCGTTGTTGCTCTATAATCCGTCACTGAGTGAATATCGTGCAATCTATTTGCTGGTTTTCCTTTAATAAAAAGCAGGTTTTCCGCAGTTTGGGGCTTTGCACACAGGGCTGCTGAGAACGTTTTTGTCCGGGTTGTTTGTTTACCTGGGACTCATTTCCGTGGACATGTGCCTGGGAGCAGAATTGCTGATTGAAGTTTTAGTCTCTCTTCTCTGGATGTCTTGACCATCTTTCTTTAAATATATTGCTGTCTTTTATTTTTTATACTATGATACGTTATTTAATTTTAATCTATAAACACTTCCAGAGAAAGCAATCCGTGATGTATGATCTTATAACCACATTCCCTTATATGCCGCCGACCTGCGCAGCGGTAGATTAGCAAGGCTGACCCAGGGATGAGAGACTGAGCAGGGTGGTCAAGGATTGGGCAAAAAATCACAGACAGACACACTTCAAGAGTGAAGATCTGAATGTAATGTGCTCAAAATCATCATACATTTTTATACATTTTTGAACAATGGATGATTTCATACAAGTTAATTTTTTCTCAACGTAAGATCATTACTAATACACAAGACGTCATGCTATCTATCATTGTAGACATGATCAGTGTTGCATAGTAAAGTACAAAAAACAATCTCAAGGTAATGATTACAGGAATCTAAATCTACACAATTATTTATGATTACAGAACAACATTCTTTAAGCTAGTTTTCCTTGTTCTGTTTCCAAGGCTACAACTAGTTTTAGATTTTGCTTTAGGAAATCACAAGCAATTTTTATGTATGTAAGAAATTTATTATCTTATTATCATGTGAGAAGTATTGTGATTACTTAAAAACGAATATTAGTACAAATTATTTTCCTTGTCATGCATTTCCTAGAACTGATTTCACAAGTATATAGAAAAAGTAAAGTAGGTAAGAAAACAGTATAAGTATAGAGTGGTTGCTCTATTGCTTCTTATGCAGGAACAATGACCAACTGGTTAATAGTTAAACTGCTTTGTCGGTAACTCCATCCGGCTTGTTTCTTGACGACCGACGCTCTGCAGCAGCCATGTTCTCAAGCAAAGGAGGGGTTTTTTACTGCGGGCTTATTGCCTGGATTGGGCTTACAGGCATTTAGGCATTTGCCTGAATTGAACGCCAAAGATGTTCATGATGAAGCCCCTCGGGGACTGCGCCTGTCTTAGGTCGTCAGGAGTCACAGACATGTGGCTAGCCAGTGCCATCTTTAGTCTGCCCCCGATCTTACCCGTCATTGACTGTCCAGTCCAGCGCACAGGGGAAGGGGGTCTTATTTACTCTGACTTACTATGTGTCTGAGTAAAAGCCTCCCTTTTTCCAGTAAGTTCACATGCGTTCAGCGGCAGAGGCTGCCGCACTTATATCTGAATAGTTTATGAAGACATTTTTATTGCAGATTTCACGGGCTCGGTCACATCATGGACAGATGATGATCATTTTATTTATTCCCAGAGGTTTTGACTTTCCATGGGCAGAAGTGACACTCAGGACAAAGCAAGACGGAATAGTGGGGGGTGTCGCTGCACAGTCTTGATAGAGGAGACAGCCTGTGATCTCACCATGAAATAAGCAGCTTTTTTCCTGTCTTTTCTGTGGTGTCTTGCCATCCCAGTAATTAGCCTCTTCCATAGTCCTTATTTGCCAAGGTATTCTCTATTTGATTTATTGAAATGTCTAAAATCTTTTTTGTTTGCCCAAAAGATAATCATTATCTTTCTGCTTTTTTTCACTAACTGGGATTTCAAAATATTCATCAATGTTAGTAGGTTAAACCAAGCTTCTATTTCTGAAAATAACTCGATGTGGTTACAGGTGAGTGTAATCACTGCGTTTGGTTTCCTGCATCGAGTGTAGGGCATGTGCTCTGATTGCATTCCACACATTAACGCTTCTGTTCTTACTCCTCCAATCTCTAAAATAATCAGCCCGGATGACATAGGACTCCCACCCTCCTGTGCCCCAAGTCGACCTTGATCTGGCTCCTCGTGTGCCCCTGCAATGGCACATTCGTGCCCTGTGATGCTATCAGCAGCATGTTGCAGATTAGAGCTTGGGGACAAAAGTTCTCTTCTATACAATACAACACAGTGTTCCACAGGCCCCTTTGGCACACCTCGGGGGAATTCCAAGGAGGACCTTGTTAACCAAACTCCCCATCTTTGTGATCTACTTTGAACACAGACTACAGAGTTCAGACCCACTTCTGAATTTAATACTTCATTATTTCTACAACAACTTTGCATTCTGTTGGAGACGTAAGTGAGGAATCATCTTTAACTCTCAACAAAAATGATAGGAATGGGGATCTGCGAGACATGTGAGCATCAATGCCCTCATTGAAGAGAATCCAAGGGAAAACTGTGGCTGACAAATCAGCAATAACCAGCCGAGGATACCAAATGATCAACTGATAAGCAAACACATTAAAGTCCATGCAACTTTCCAAGAAGACCTGCACCATTGAGTTTTACATTCATACTTTAGGATGGATTAGAGAGTGAGTACTGCACTTGCCTAAAAATGCACCTAGATTCTATGACATGCAATGGATCTGTGAACCAAAACCAAACCAAAACAAACCAAAAAACAAATGCTTACATGAGCTTGTCAGAAAGACCACAATTTGGGTTAGAAGAGAGGTGCCAAAGAACAGAAAATAAGGGTTATGATTGTTCTGCAAAGCAGAAGTTTAAAGTCATATAAAACAGAACAGAGCAAATTATGCACAGGAAACTAAGATAAAGAGAAAGGCTCAGGATGAGCAGAATGGACTCTTGTCTGGCAGATGGACTTTGTTAAAAGGAACGTGTGGTCCTTAACAGTGGTGAGGTGGTCAGCATGGACATCTAGAGGCAGGAGGGGCACACTTGCAAAGGTTGGGGTGGATGGACTGGCCCCTGAGTCTCTGGGTCCACAGGAGAGACCACATGCTCGACGTGTGCAGGAACCTCCTCAGGAACACTGAGCCTTCTAGCTTACTCCCTGGTTTTTATTTGAGTTTTCTTGTATTTCAGCACAGAGGAGCAACTGGCCCCAGCAACTTGTTAAACTTTGCTTATAATCTATAAATGTCCATAATAGTTTATAGAGTTGTATAAGGTTGGTATTGCCCTAATGTGTGGGCTCATCCTCATCCTTTTAATAGATAAGATCAGATTTTTAATCTTTGATATTGAAGCTCAGCTCTGCTTTGTTACAATAACAGAAGACAGTTTCCTTTTATTCTCTGATCGAATGGGTCATTTATTTATAGCAGCCTATATTTTTCTTAAAAAGTTGTAGGTCTTTGAATGTTTTTGGACATCAGAGAATGACACTGTTATCAACAATCAAGCAGGCAGATTGAATGAGACACCTATGTTTAGGAACTTTTTAGAGATTCAGGGATGGAGGAGAACCAGGGATCCTTTTATAAAATTCACCCACGAAGCTGAACATCCTTGGCCAATATACCAACATCTGTAAGCAGAGTTTAGCCCCCACATAGATGAGATCCTGCAGGGATGTGAGGTACTCCTCCCCAGGTTGCCCATTCCATTTTGTGAATACGCCTTCATGATGTTAATATCTGCCCCTCTTAGCTCCTGCCTCTTTTCCTCGGGGATCACATGGTTAGACATTACAATGGCATTGCTGAGAAATCTTACCCTTATTAGACAAATGGTCTATTGTCACATGATTGGGTATAACGTCACTTGGGTTCAAAGGAACCACTTTATGATGAAGAAGGTGAACTGTAGACACATGACTTTGGGACCCACTGTCCTATTATTATATGTCCCTTGGTACATAGCCCAGAAGCTGCTGGCCTGAGAGACCATTGGAACGCAACTTAGATGTGCAACTAAGGGGTTAACTTAGAGTCAGCAACATGTGGGGTTGATATATTTCCTTCCAGGTGTTGTATATGCCTTGCCCAATGCCCATGCCATAGCTCACATTAGCTGGTACTGTATAGTACCACAATAGGGAGTAGACATGAGTTCAGAAGGTGATTGGTAGAAGTAAGGTGGCTTGTCTCACCTTAGTCCAGTGACTTACTTGGGCTTGGTGCTTTTCACCAGATCTAGGCTTCTCATGTTGAAGGTTTTGTTTCCATGTGAGGGATATTTCAGATCTAGAACATGATCTACTGTCACAATTGTCACCTCGTCATTTGAACTCCTCATGTCCGTGGACCATCAGAGAAAGCAGTTACTTCTTGGGGAGGGATAATATCATGGAGACATGGAAGCAGCTCCCTCTGGAACTCGTGAGATTCCCTGAGTATCATGTATGTGTCCACGCCAGTACTGGCCCTTAAGGAGCAGGGACAGCAACCACAGCTTGACCAGACACCGTCATCGGAGATGCGACCCAGCAGCTGGTTGTCTGAGTTACTGCTGTGAGGTATCTGGAAGGACATTGTGTTGGCCGATGGTAAAGGAATGTAGGTTTGGCGGCTAGGATGGAGACATGAATGCTGGTTGCACACTCTGACAGCAGCAGTAACTGCCGATGTATTATATTTATTATTATCCACCCCTTTCTTTTTCTTCTCTTCACTCTTCCCTCTCTCTGCTCCTCCATTCTCTCTCACCTTCCTTCCTTCTTTACATCTCTTCCTCCCACCCTCCTTTCCTCATTTTTTCTTTTTGTTGTTCTCTCTTTTAGGTCTTAGTTCTCTTAATCTTTTTCTCACTCTTCTGCCTCATACTCCTTCACCTCCTTATCCTTCTTCTGATTCTAGAAATTGGGCCTGTCAGCCATCTTGAAGAAGGAAGAGATTGGATCTGAGACCAGATGAAGTTTCCAACTCCCCATATGGACCAAAATTCATCTATAGATTTTCTCATCCCCAATGTGATGGCTTTAGAGTTGGGGTATTTGATAGGTAAGTAGATGTGGATGAGGATGGGACCCCGTGATGGGATTAGTGGCTTTATAACAGAGGAAGAAATCAGAGTTTATTCTTATACCTTTCCCCCCTCCCACCGTTTGAAAATAAGGCAATAAAGAGTCATCTGCAGACCAGGAGACTCACCAGAGATCTAAGACACATCTTTGCTTCCCTAACATGTGTAGCTGCTGTCTCTGATATATGGCTTGGGAAGAAGTTTAGTGAACATTCCTGGTATAGATCAAAAATTATCAATTCCATTGTTGAAGTAGAAAAATCAACTGCAGGGCTGAGTCCCTAGTACTCAGATTCTTCGTGACTGGTATTGGAAGCGTAAGTGATCTTGAGTAGGAACGAAAGATCCAGTTCTGGATCTTGGCTTGTCCGTTCTGAGCTCCATGTCCTTATAGGATGAAATTTTCTCATTTAAAATTTTAAAAATGAGGAAAGTCATTATTGGTGGGACATTTTGCAGCTTAGTTTGTGTCATGCACATGATTTGCAATGTGTGTATCAGGGAAACTGTACGAAAACAACAAAACACAAGATAGGGTGACAGTGGCATAGAATTTATTAAGAAGCACAGAGTCTCATAGCTGAGAGTCCTTGTATCTAAAGAGACAAGTCAAAGTGATGATGAAAGGAAGAAAGAAGACACATAAGCACATTGATAAAGAAAGCAGGATTGTGACAATTATTGATCAGCTGCAGAGCCTATGGAAAGCTGTGTGTGAGGTCTGCTTAGAGGGAGCAGGTGATCCTGACCTCAGAGTCACACCAAGACCTGCTCCCACATCGGGGATCATGAAGCAGCACGTGATACACAAGACAGAGGGGAAGAAGAGAGGCAAGGGGGGGTTCCTCCCTGCCCCTCAGGCTGATTCACAGCTTTTACAGGGGGTGAGAAGCAGCGTCATGGAGAGAGCATGTTGGCTGCCATCACAGTTCAGAAAGAAAAATGCCCCCGAACAGCAAATCAGTTAACAGGAGTCGTGTGCAAGAGGGTGGCTGTTGGGTGAGGTGATCAGCAGCCACAAGGCTGGCCGCAGGGGCACCCCAGGCTCTCTGGGAGGCACCCAGGCAGACAGCAGCAGGTGGGCAGGTACCAGGTTCTGTGGCAGTACACGGGGGTACAGGAGGCGGGCTGGCCACAGGGGGAGCAGCAGCTGGGGCGACAGCAGGGGGAGCAGCAGGGAGAGCAGCAGGGGGCACAGCAGCTGGGCCTGCAGCAGGGAGAGCAACAGGGGGAGCAGCAGGGGGCACAGCAGCTGGGCTGGCAGCAGGGGGCACAACAGGGGGTGCAGCAGCTGGGCCGGCAGCAGGTGGTCGTGCAGCAGGTGGTCCTGCAGCAGCTGGGCTGGCAGCAAGGGGAGCAGCAGCTCATGGTGGCAGGGGGGGACGGTGGGTGCCTGTTCACAGGTGAGTTTCCCAGAATCTGATGAGGACCTTCCTGTCCTGGGCCTTTTATACCCGGGGACCCTCAGATTTACACCAATAAGCAGGGCTGCCCTTGTTGTTGTTTATAAACAGTGGAATTTCTCAGGCAATTGTGAGGAGGAAGTTATTCCCCAAATGCTTGAATCTCTAGGAAATTGGTGTCTGATGTGAGCTAATTGAGAGGAGTCACAGAGGAAGCAGGTGCCATCACTGCTCTGTCCTCTTTGATCACGGTGGTCATGTGCCTTGGCTCCTGCTGGCCTGGGGTGGCCAGAGCGGGTGTCCCTCTGCAGCTTGTTCCTGCCTAGTGTGGAGAGGGGGTGTCCCTGGGGAGGGGCGTGATGCTGTGTCCAGGGTGAGGAGCTGAATGCAGGTGAGTCCAGGTGTGTGAGCACCAAGGCCTAGGGAAGGGGCACAGGCCTCTGTCTCTGTAGCTGCCTCCCCTCCCGTGTCCCAGATCCCCCAAGGATGCCCGGGAGAGGTGGTTGATCCAGTCTCTCCCACGTGCCAACAGAGCCACCTGCGGCAGGTGGAAGCGGAGGCAGTGCCTGGGGCTCAGAAATGCCACCAGTCCAGGCCCAGGTGACCTGTTGTCCTGGTTTGTCCAGGCAAAGGGCTTTGTAGGAGGTGGTGCTCGCGTGCAGTGCACTGGTGCATTTTGGGCAAAACAGTCTGAGTTGGGAATTCCAGTCCTAGCTCTTTAGCTGGCAGCGGTAGTGACCTCATGTGAGGGAATAGGTATTTCAGTTTCTTTTTTCGTTTCTTCCCTGTGCTCTCTCTCTGTCTCCTCCACTTCCTCCTCCCAGAAAACGCGGCTGTCCCCTGTGCTAAAGAATGAAGCGGGAGGTGCAGATGATTCTTCTGTCTTGGATTTCCGGGTGCCCAGGCCCATCTCCACCTGCCAGGCTGGGGTCTCAGTGTTGACCTCCCTTTCACACAGCAGAAATCATGTTGCGTGGCACAGAGAAGATGCGAGACCAGCTCCAACTGTCTGCTGTCATCCTGGCTTAGGGAAGTAGTTCTTGGTGTCACTTTCCCAGCTGGTGTCTACACATCCCGAATAACCTGCATTCACTGGAATTATTTTTCAGAGTGGATCCGGGAGGAGCCAAACTCAAACCTTTCCATCTAGTTTCCATTTCCTTATCTTTATTTTATTTTATTTTTAAAAAAGATTTATTTATTTATTTATACAAGCACTGGGTAGAGTCAAAAGCGCGGGAGGGTGAGAGAATTTACCAGAGCCAGAGCGGGGAACAGAACAGGCAGATGGACCGAAATACACTGCTGAGGGGAGCAGCGGACGGCAGGAGAGGTCTGCGCACCATGTGGGACCCTCGCCTGGTGGCCCGGGATCGAACTGGCGCTGCAGAGGCTGCGGGCAGCTTTGCAACCCAGCGCTCAACCGCTGCGCCACTAGGGGAGGCCCTCCATTTCCTTATCTTTAAAATGGGAACGTTCATACTTATTGAAATTTCTTCATGAATTAAATATGAGGCATATGATGATTTGAGTCAGCACCAAGCAAATTGTAGGTGACCCTGAACATGTCAGTTCTTCGTCCCCTTCCATGAACCCCCAGCAAGAGACAGTATCAGCGAGCTGGGTCTCACTGTTCCATGATTGCAGACATGGAGACTCAGAAGTGGCTTGTGTCTTGGACATCAGCCTGGTTGCCTCATCAGAGGTAGCTGACTGCTTCTGAGGAGGTGACCTAGACCCAAACTCTTCTGTTCCTCTTACTGTTGGCCCCAAGCCTGTCCTCACTGGGTGCTTAGACAGCTGCTTTAGTTCATGGCCAAAAACAACTGCCTTCCGTGTAACATGACTCCTGTGAATGCACAGGTTTTTCTACTTTTCTCTTTTTCACATTGTTGTGATTCTCCAGGGATATGAGTTTTTATTTCTCTCAAATACTTCATATTACCTCACCATATGCAGGGTTTTTTCCCCTTGGAAGATTCCTAGGTCATGGGTTATTCAAAGGCACACATGCTAATTGCATCATTTCTCAACTCCAACTTTTTCCTTACTTAGTTTTGTTAATAGCATTTATTAGGAGGACAAATTCACCTACATGGTGATATGTTTTGAGTGGAAATACTTAATGCCTTTTGACTGTCAGTAGGTACTAGGCCAAGGAGGCCTCACAAGAATGTTTGATTCATATGATACCTGTGACATTGTGAATTATAAGAAATACATGTTTGGTTTTGTTCAGGGTTATTGGATCACAGCTTTCTAAACTCTTGAAACATTCTAAATGTTGAGAGCAATAAATGAGTCTTTTGTTATGTTAATGAGCAAGGGTCAGGCTGGTTGCCTTGGAGTCACATGATTGGAGGGACCTCCAGTCTCTGGGGGTGGTGGTGGATAGAGAGGCTGCCAGTGGGGCTCTGTTACCGATGATCAATGATTTGACCACCATGTCCATGTGATGAAACCTCAATAAAACCCAAAAGAAGGGGGTCTGGAGAGCTGAGTTGATGAAAATGGCAGATGGGAGAAGAATGGTGCATGTGGAGAGAGCGTGGCCAGCCCTTCCCCTACACATCTCTTCCATCTGGCTGCTCTTGAGTTAAATTGTTTTAATAAACTTGTGATCTAGTAAGTAGACTGTTTGTCTGAGTTCTGTGAGTCACTCTAGAATATTTAATTTATCCCAAGGAAGGAGAGGGTCATAGGAACCTGATTCATAGTCAGTTGGTCAAAAGCTTGGCTAACAATCTAGGACTGTGACTGACATCTAAGGGTGGAGGTGGGCGGTGATGAGGGACTGAGTCCTCAACTTGGGAACACGATGCCATCTCCTGGCCGTAGAGAATTACTTGCTGTGGGGAAAAACCTTCATTCATTTGGGGACCAAAGGAAAGACTTCCAGGGAAGAAAGACTTAAGTAAGGAAGAAAAAAATGTAGATTTTCCCACTTACACTACCAAAGAGCAAATCTCTTTTGCTGTCTCTTTTTTGTGAGGACAAACTGGGCTATGGTGGGGGACTGTGGGTACCTTGGTGGTGTGCGCGATGTGGCAACATACATCTGAAGAGATGTGACCTACCATCTGAATTATATCCAGTGTTTCACCTAATGTTACCCCAATAAAAAAACCAATACAATAAAGTTCCTTAAAAAAGATTAGATTGGTTTACTAGATGCCATCATTTAGTTCACCTGCAATTCATCGCTTGAAAATATTTAGGATATGTGTCTTTACAGGTAACAAGATCAAGCAAATACAATAAATTAAAAAAATACTTTGGTGCAGATGAGTTAAGACAGGTTCAGATAGCATCTGAGGCAAGAAAATGCTCCCTGCACTCCTGAAAACTCTCAAATGTTGCCCTAACATGTAGGTACTGATTGCTGAGCTATGGGACACTGACTGGGGAAGAATTTTATAAACAGATGCTCTGCGTATATGTAAGAGAATATTCCTTCTATGGCTAAGAAGAAACTGAAGTGTACATCTAGTTGGATTTCAGACCCAGGAGTCTTTCTTGCTTGTCTTATACGAATGTAGGTGGTCTTAGGCAGGCACAGAGGTCCCAGTCTCCATCCGACTCTGTCCATATCAGCGAGAAACAGCACATTTGAGATTTTCCCATATGAACAATGGAGGGTGTGGGGCACAGAATGGGTCATGCTCGTGGCATGCAGCAAGGGTGTAAATCCTCACAGGGGGCATGCTCAACAATGAAACCAAGCACAACTCAGGACAAATAATGGCACAGGGCTTATTGAGGAACGCAGGTGAGATGCTCTGCATCTAGGGAGACAGGGAGGGTGATGCTGAAAGGAAGAAAGCAGAATACAAGCATCAGGAGAGCCTTGAAATAGAAAGCATGGCCGTGAAGACTATTTGATAGTTGTAGAAATCGATGTAAAAGTTAGGAGGATTGGTTTTTCTAAGTTCCTTAGAGGAGAAGGATGAAGATCTAGAATTCAGAGTCAAAGTAGAATCCATAATTCTGTATTGTGTGTGCAGGAAACTGGCGCAGGATCCAGGAACATATGGAAGAAGAAAACGAGGATGAAGTTCCCCTCACCCATCCAGCTGGCTTACAAAGTTTTAAACAGGGAGATGTGTGGGAGGAATTTGGTAATAGCATGTTGGCTTTCCACAACATTGGACAGTGAATTTGTGCCCCAAATAGCAAATGAATGTTGTGTTCTGCTGGTGGTTCATGGGCAAGGTGATCAGTGGTAGGAGGGACAGCAGGAGATGGTCCAGCAAGTGACCTGACAGCAGACTGGGCAGCAGCAAGGCTGGGAGCACCTAGACCCACCTCTGGACCTGTGGCAGGTGGCCCTGCGGCAGCTGGGCTGGCAGCAAGGGGAGCAGCACGGCATGGTGTCTGGGATGGAGGGTGGGTTCTACTGAGAGGTGATTTCCCCAGAATCTGATGATGACTTTCCTGTTCCGGGCCTAAAGTTTGAACCAATAAGCAGAACTGTCTTTGTTTTGTTTTCCATAGTTATTGGGGAAAATTGTAAAAGAGGAAGTTCTCTAAATGGTATGAGTCTTTGGAAACCAAGTGTTTAATGGGTTTCTTAATTGCGGGTAATTCCTAGAACTTTTTGCAGGCAGGAGGAAGTCATCTCATCGGCATGCTCCGGCTTGCTTGCCATCGGACACGGTGCAGCTCCCACTGGCCTGCAAGGCTCTGACAGGCTTCACTCTCCAGCTCTGTTCCTTGGTTGTGTATAGATTGGGGTGTCTCTGGGGAGGGGCATGATGCTGTGTCCAAGTGCGGAGCTGAATGCATGTGAGTCCAGGTCTGTGACCCACAAAGACCTGACAGAAGGGGTGCAGGCATCTTCTCTGTAGCTGCCTCCCTCCCCTGTATCCCAGCTCTCCCAAGGGTGCTGGGTATAGAATGTTTGCCAGCATCTCTTTATATGGCAAAGGAGAATTAGTGTAGATGGATAGCTATTCCTTTTTTAAT